TTGCAGGAGATATTTTGTGAGTTTGAATAAGAAGTTCTCATATCACGCACTCTCTATACAAAATAGTCAAGTATCTAGTTTCTTGCTGGTAAAAATTCTGTTGGAAAAAGTTGCACCAGAGCAAGTTTCATCCTTTTGAATAAAGTGAGAAATACTCCCACAACAAAGTTGAACTGATTTCAGGTGGTAAATTTCCTCCACTGTCACAGTGGGAACAWAATGTTTACATATGTCAAAAATACTTAATTAGATAATAGCTTGAGCTAGTAATTAGCTTAAGAGGTATTGCATACTTTAACAATATCTCAGCCAGAAAGTTTTGCACTGTTTGCCTGTTGAAATATTTTATATATTATTAGCAACTGATTTGAATCTTTGAGCAGGTAAAAGCTGCCTCTATGCAGGAATCTAAGCAGTGCACACTGTGCACAGATACATGTCTGGGATTGCCTGCAGACCCATGACTTTGTGAAGAGTCTACCTGAGTGATGCTGTGATTCTGTAAGCTTCCTGRTAGGGATTAGGAAGGGATGGCACTGACCTTGGGCACCCCCATTGAAACTCTGGGGCCCTGACTCAGATTTTGCCCTTTGACTAATGGACAAGCAGTTGTAGCACAGAATACAGGTCTGTGTCATCAGACCAGTGCATTTTATGAGTCAACGGCCACTTGGAAAAGCAAAATTAGTTCTGCTTCTTGAGCCCTTCACACTTTCTTAGGCCTTAGCTTGTTCCATATGACCAGTCCCATCTATGGTGCCACTTGGAAAGTCAGCCTAGGCTTACTCCAGAGAGCACAGAACTATTTTTGCAGGATGACTTAGTGGTGTTCTCTCACCTTTGTTTTCTTTGCTCTGTTTGTGATACCAAAAGGGTCATGTTTGGGGTTGAGCATGAAAAACGGTCACCTTGGATCAAAGGAAGCCTCTGGGAGCGAGGAGAGGAGAGCGGTCACCCGGGCAGCTGATGAAATGCACACACTGGCACTTGACAGGACACCAATTATCCTGTACTTTAATAATAACATGTTAATCATCTTAGAGTCATTATTTGCTCTCAAGCACACACTGTACTCCCATATTGACAYTAAAAAAAAAAATCCCACAAAACTCAAACAAGCAGAGGACAGATCCGTAAGGCAAAACACATTTGAAAACAAAAACGATCTTTTCAGTGAAAAAGGTCTCAGCATCTGCCCTGGAACACCAAAACAGCAGGAAGGTGGTGCAGTTCTGTGCTCCTTCAGGCCAGTCACCCCCAAATACTTTGGGATATAATAGCATAGTATTATTTTCCTTTATTTAATAAAAATGTGAATGTAAAACTATGATTTGGTCTTGGCATCATATGAAGAGACTTTGGTAATGTCAGCAAAAACTTCCCCAACAGCAATATCTTACCTAATGGTTACTCAGGGAAATTGGATTCTGTGATTCATCTTTAAGTGACACTCTCAACTGTGATTTCCAACAGCGTTGTCACTGCCAGTTCCAGTAGCAGCTTTCAGTACTTTTATCTGGACCACTTGYGAGTCAGGTAATAGCTTGAAGTCACTGGCTGCTTTCATGTGTATCACCAAACAGTCCAGAGGCTTTTCATTTTACCTTTTCAAACTACAGGTGAGAGGTGAGTTCTTTGGGAGATTGTAATGGACAGTGTTTCATTCTTGAGGTCTCCATCCATGAATATTCCTTTAAAATGTATCTAAATTTGGATAGGTCTATCTAGCTCCTAGGCAGACTGCACCTTCCCATGGAAGTGCAACTGAGGCCATTTGGCAGAGGTGCTTTCACTGGCACAATACGGCAAAAGAAAGATGGAAAACCACAGCACTCAGCTCTGCCTGCAGCCCAAGCAAAGACAGTGCTAGACATAGTGCTGATGTAGAGGAACTTGCAGGAAGACACGAGGTGCTCAGAAGTTAAATCTGAAAGGAAGAACTTGCTCTGCAAATTCACAAACAGCAAAGAGGTTGTTTTTTAAATTTGTGGTCACCTCAGAGATTGTTCTAGTTAAATACATTAATTACTTTAGTTTATATTATAAAAGCAGACTTTGGCATTTAAAAGTTTTTTGGTGTCTCGGTCTATGGAGGTCTATACAGAGTTACCTTAGATGTTTGGCTGGCCCAAGGTCCTGTCCTGGGGCATTTTTTGGAGTTCACCACACCCTAGCCAAGGCACRTCCAACAGCCAGCCCGGTCCCTGCTATCACTTTATAGGGCACATGAAACATGCACTGAAGTGAGGGGGAATTTGTGAGAAGGTCAGACATATCCTCATGCTGCAATAAACAAATTCATCACTGAAATATATTTAACTGAGACTTCATCCAATTTCTAAGTCTTCAAACAATTAGGTTTGAATAGTTCCCTGGGAGAACTGTCTACTTCACTTCAGTATGAATCTTTTTAACTTCATGTTCAGCACTTGCTGTTCATCCAGTTTGCAGCGTGTTGTTAATAATGTTTTTCAGCTCTCAACTACTTAACCCTCCTTTGACCAAACTATAAATATTTATCCAATTCAATCATCTCTCCTTTGTCTATTCACAAAGCTCTGCACTTATTTCAGCTCTACACTGAGCAACCTTCAATTTGTTTTTCGTAGTGCGCTGCCTGAAAACGAACATGTTCTGCCACCACGGCACACCCGAGCTGCGCGGAGAACAGTGACCTCTCTGGTCTTCACTTAGTGCCTTCACRGTCAGTGTATCTTGCATTATTTTCCCTGAGATGGTTTAGCTGGCAGTTTTTGAGGTTGAATACAAAGTTCAAATCATTCATTTCATCAAGTTTTTAAAATCTCCAAGAAATCAACTATTTCTGTTGCTTTCTATCCTTCTTCCCTTCTGTGTCTGTGTGTAACCCCTCCAAAGCACATCTGAAGAATAATCATCAAGTTTCACAATATATGAGTTATATCCTTTTCTAAATTATTACTGAATTTGTTTTACCAGGTTCTACCATTACTCTCTGTTAGAGAATCAGCATTTGTCAGGCTGGAGATAGACTTTGTTCTTTACTCAACACTAGTTTTAGGAAATAAACAATTGCTTGGCTTTCATTAAAAAGTGTGATATTAATTGAATCAAAATGCAAGAATGGAGACAACTGCAATTTTGATATATGTCTGCACAGATGTATTTATGAAACTTACTATCATTCACTGCAGAGCCTGTGGATTTAGTATTTCATACTCAGAATTATTTCAGTTTCTAGTAAAATATTCGATACAGCAGCAATAGCTCATGCAAGCTTGAAGCCTTGGATATTGTAATAATACATTACAGACAAGAATATAAACTGCCCTAGATGGTGAACTGAAATTCCCAAGAACTTTCTGCAAGTGTTAAGTAACAGAATTTGTCTCGGTAGTTACTGAATTATGTCTGCTTAAAACCTACACACAAAGTGAGCTTCAAAGCCTATGTGAGAGAATTATTCTTAGATCACTTGTCTGGTGRCATGAAATCTTTCCCTTCTGCGTCCCAGCTGAGCAGTGAGGGGGCATGGAGCTCTGGGAACCAGAACCACCTGCCTCTTCCTGGTCTTAGCCTAAGCCCTTTTTTTTTGGTGCAGACAAATAARACTTGATTTAGTAAAAGGCCGCTGTTCAGGGCTTACAGCACGTGCTACCAACATCTGGTATTTAACCATGCTACCAACCAATGCTACCAACATTGGTATTTAACAAGAGCTCAGGTTCTTTTCTCGTGTGTTTCTTCAAGCTCATCCTCACAGAAGGTCATGGACCAGAACAAGCTCTTCCTTTCTGCGACCCTTGGGTAATCCTATYGATTTATCCTGTACCCAGCCTAGCTAATTTCAATTTATCCCTTTATGATTTGTTTTGCTCACGGTTAATGAACCTATGCTAACTATTTTAGTTCTAGCTATAACTTGCTTTTGCCAAACTGTGAAAATGGAAGAAAAAAGGATGGTGAGAACCTGTGCTGTGACTCTAAGAGAAGGAGCACAGAAATCCTGACCTGCTCCATTGATGCTGGTGGACTGACCAGCTGCCCCTGGTATCAAGAAGGGACCAAGAAAGAGCAAAATATTACAGCAATATTATCATAAATTTTGGGACAAGATATACATTCAAGTGATATGTTGAACATGGATGCATTGTTAAGGGCTTCTGCATGTTTTTGTGACCACCTCTGAACATACTTAGCAATGTTAAGTGACCTAAAAAGCTGTGTGCTGGAATCTTCTTTTAAAAACTGTTATTTTCCACAAGTTTCCTGTTAATAATTGACTTACGAAGGTCAGAATTTCATGACAGCAAGCACTACTGAAGTCACAACACTTATGGCAGTACTAAACTTAGCCCAAATGTATTGTGTCTATGTCTGTATTTTTCAAAGCATTTGCAGCAGATGGTCCCAAAGTTAACTGATATTTGATTCAGTATTCCTTTCTGAATGTTTCCTCTAAAACCCAGTTTCAGTGGATATCTGTATCATCTATAACCTCAAGACTCTGCTAGCAGTTATTTCAGCTCATGTCTGCATTTGAGACCTGTGGCTTAGGGCAAGAGAACCGAATTAGAAAAAATAATCTCTAAAATATGGTGTTAGACCGCAAACTAAGGCTGAGATTTATCATGTTGTGGCTTCCATTTTACCCCTGTTTCACCTAGGGCGAGCGTGTTTCCAAGAAAAACAAATACATAATGATAGATCCTGAAGCAATATTATTTTAAATAGATTTGTAGCAAAGAGAAAACACAATATATTAACTGCTGCCCAACTCMAAAATAGCTCCAATGACAAATAATAGGAAAGGGTTAGAGCAGGGCATAGTGCCTGGAGATTTTGCCCRGCAGCAGATCAAACGGCTGAACTCTTGACAGACTCTGCAGCTTTTCTTCGCCTGCTGTTTTCTGGAACAGCAGATTCGGGAGCCATTTGTGAGTCACTGGCCAGTGCAGAGACAAAAAATGTCACAGCAAACTTTCAAATGTCACAGAGCAAAGGGCTACCATTGGAAAAAAAAATCAAARCTTTCCAATTTCTTAAAAAATAGCTCCACTAGATTTTCTGGATAGGGCTTTTGGAATGTGTATTTTACATGATTGACAGGTCTATGCTGTAAATTTAGGTGGAAAAACAACTATATAAAAGCCATGAAAATTTCTTCTATGGCTACTCTGTCACTGAGCTTTAGCAATATCAAGCACAAAAGGCAAAGCTCCAGTTCCTGAGTGCTTGCAGAGGGCTTTTAAATTTTATTTAACAAAATTACAACAGCAGTTGTAATTTCCCACAGTTCTTCAGGGAATTAACGCATTTTACTCCAAAGAACAGTGCAAAGATCTAAAATTCTGCAGATATATGCTTTTAAAAGAATTTTACTCACTGATTTCATGCCTTATGGAGTCCAGAGTCCAGAACAGTCTTGGGTCTGCCACAGCAGTGAAGGTAACACACTATTAATTGCACACACTTTCACRCCTAGGATCTAATGCATAACACTATCAATCATGTACCTAGCAAGACCCAAGCTAAAACATGCCAAAGCTGAGGAGGAGCAGGGAGGAAATCCTCCCATAAGGATTAAGTGTGAGACATTGYCCTGGCTCCCAGCTCCCCAGGGCTCAGCCGATTGAGCAGCTAAACCTGAGGCTGCAAACGGCTCCCTCCACCACAGCTGCCACCTTTCTGGTTCACACCAGTGTCACCAGGGCACTATTTATCTCCAGAAGTCTTGTTAATGCTGGCTCCCCAGCTGTGAAACGTAGGCAAAGATGTGAACAACAAGGGCTCACCTCTCTCTGGCTTATGAGCAAACTCTTAATAGAACTCCAGCTCTTCAGATCTAATTATAGTCAAAAATTCCCTCTCCACTTGCTGTGAAGAGGGACAGAGTAAATCCTACCTGGCTCAGAACTAGAGTATAACTGATATTATTGCCTGCTGGAGACAAGGAATATAATTTTCCTTTGGATTCTTTAATCTCTGCACTTTTGGATGGTCTTTAAAAAATATCTTCTTTTCTTATCACTTCAAATTAAACCCAAATTGTTCTCATTATCCAGATGGAGACAGCGAACACAGCATATTCATATAAAAATAGTACCATTTGCATATAGCACTTGCCATTAAAGTTATCTACAAAAGAGAGCAGTATGATTATCCTCAACTTTTATGTAGGGAGACTGAAGCACCTAGAGGTAAAGTCACATACCTAAAATCATCCAGCAAGTGAAAATCCCAATAATAAGAGAGGATTTGCAGCCCTTGGGATAACTGCATGTGGCAAAGCATCCCAAAGCAAAATTACTGATATTTGGAAACATTCATAACCTGAAAAATGAAATTAGATTCTTGAGATATCCAAATATTCAACTCAGAAACAGAACCTGGTGTTACCACTGAATGTTGCCTCCCTAACTAGGGGAGGAACTCACTGTGCTAGCTACGTTATATAAAATTAGCAAGATTTAGTGCTTGCCCTGAAGAGCTAAAATTATAGTCCTTTTATCATCGAAAACACTTCCTTATATCTTAACAGTATCAAAATTTTGGCTCCCTTGCTATTAATTACATATCTATTTCTTGAAGTTTTCAAGCAACAGCTGCCTTAGAGATCAAAGCTGATCAAAATAACAGGGGGTGCAGGGAAGGAGCTATATTCTTTTTAATACATTCCTGTGGTTTTGATCAAAGTGTGCCGAGAGTCACACCAAGCAGTGACTGAATTTAATGGGATGCAGCTATGCTCAGCTGACAAATAAGAAATCTCTCTCTTTGGTTTATTGGATGCATAAGTCCATGCTTATCCTCTTTCTGTCTCTCCTCTTCATTTTTCCCATGAACTGTTCAATATACATGTGCAAACTAACTGCATTGAGGGCTGTTCAGGACTAGAATCGGGCTCATAAACTGATCAGGGTCACAACCGCTCTCACTTATGTATTCTCACTTTTGTTTTCTCACCTATATTCTCAGTGTATTCTCACTTGCCAGACGCTGTAATGAACCAGGCCTACCTGGACCCAGTGATTTGCATCCAAGGGCTGCAGCAAACATTGGAGAGCAATTGCTCAAGGAGGTGGCTGTAGCCTTTGCTTTTGCAAACAGAAGCATTACCTCTCTGCATGGATCCGTAAGTTTGAGGGCAGTTCTTTGAGTGGATGGGCACAGGGAATAAGCACATGGGATGCGTCCAGCATCCCAGGATGTGTCAAGGGATGTCCCATCTGCCTTGGGTTATACAACAGAGGTGGGTTTGATGTGCTGGGATGTGGAGATGGAGACCAGGGCTGGGTGGCTGCTCCACACCTGCTGAGAGCTGCGAAAGGCCAAGTTGGATAGGTTTTGGGAACAGTGRCTTGAGGAAGGAAGACAGGGCTAACTCTGTATGCTGGCATATAAAGAGGTGACTTCTTCTGTCCATAATATTTGATGAAAAAAACAGCTGGGCAAAGCACAAGCTCTGTCCTGAGCACTGCAGGGCAGGGAATCTGCTCGTTGCACTCAGGCAGGGTGCCCAAGACAGGCAGATTCCCATTCCAAGGCAGCCCAGTTACTAGGAATGCTGCTGCCACAGAACACCACCAGGCCAAACATTCCCATTCCGACATGATCAGCATTTTCCAAAGGAAACCTTTTTCCATGCACTTCAATTCTCCTTTTGCATCCGGGATCTCCTCTTTCYCCGTCCTGAGCTCTGCTGTGAGGGCGTTACACAACTCTGCGTGCACTTTTGCCCTCTCTAATGCTTTGCTCAAGAGGCAGATTATTACTCATTTCTAGCTGGGCGGCTATGCACTTATGAAGGGCCTAATTCTACTTTTACATTCCCCTTAATTATTAGACCTTGCACAGAAAATACATAAATGGTGAAGAAATGGGGAGAAAGACAAGGTCAAACCCAAACTCATGAGTTTCTCTGTGATAAAAAGGAGTTATATAAATAGAAGATTATAATTTCTCATTAAGTAGAAAGTTTTGTCATTTGCTTTTTGAGGTTCTGAATCTGCTGTTCGAGTTGATGCGAACCTCTGTTTTCAATGCTTAACTTTGGTGTCTCTCAGAAGCTCTCTAATAAACATTAGAGCTTGCATCTTACTTGGTGGCAGATGGAGAGAGCCATGATTAATGCTACTGAGMTGGGGATGAAAACATTTCTCAGGCTGAAGAGCTTTATAACGATGAGCACTTCTGCTTTAATGCAGAGTGGCCAGATTCTGCTGGCAGATTCCTTAGCATCGATCAGAAGTCACATTATCACAATCATGGATATTTGAAAGGTAAAATCATTGCAAGTGACAGGAGAATTAAGCCTCAGATTTTTTTTCTTTTTTTCCTCAAGTACATTAGTTTAGGTAATTTTGAGCAACTATACTCAAGACAGAGGCAGGAGACAGTCATGTTTAATAAGGCTACTGTTTGTCCTGGCTGTGGGTAGTTTTGCTTCTGCCACCAACCTTTCTCCTCCTCATTTCATGTGTACCAATGAGACCCACTGCTAAACCAGGGAAATTGCTCCCCTTTCACAGGGAAGTAAATAAGAGCTGCCTAGACCTTTCTGTAGAGCAAGTTGAGAGTGGAATTGCCATTGTCTCTTTGGAATTAACTAGTGCTAGGTTTTACTTCAAGGATGGGTAGAAAGAGCTCCCTCTATACAGAAGACGCACTTGAAGGGTCTTAAGTAGCCCTGGCCGTGCAAAAAGAAACAGGGTTGTGACTGCTCCTTTTCTCTCTGGGTCACTTTGACCTGGGGAAGCTCCACAGTGTATTTTACTCTACTGGTCTACAACTACGTTCTTTCATTGCTCTAATGGGAATTTTATAAAAATGCCATATTTACCTCCTACAGCCTTCCCATACAGAGGCATTCAGAGTCAACGCAATTATAGGAAGAAAACTTTGCAGAGTGCACACACGACTTRGGAAGAGACTTGAAGTTACTGGAGATTTTTTCAAGTTTTCTTAGTTTATTTGGGTTGAATTTTAATCAGGCAGAAAAATGAGTCTAACAGCTGTCAGAATTAGTTATATCTGTTTTTTCTTTCTGTATTCATCCGCATTTTTTAATGTAGTATCCTTGACATGCTTCATTTGTGACAAGAGTGGTAGAATTACTCAATTTCATACATAACATTGATTTTTAAAAAAAAAAAATGTACTTTTTTGGGTCATTTTCATGTATAATTTAGCTTAACTTGCATTTGGCTTACTCTAAATTAAAAGCCCTTGATTGGAATGAGGTCAGCTTTATACATGCTTGGGATCTCAGTAAGAAGTGCATAGTGGTAGTTTTTTTTGACTTTCTGAATTTTTTTTTTAAAAACTTCTGGATTTGTGAAGCTCTCCTAAAGCCTTTCTCGTTACATTGTCTGATTTTAGAGTAATTATTTAGAGTGCAAGTACCAAAGAAACATGAGAAAACTAGCAAACTTGTAGTTAAAAGAAAAAAAAAAAAAAAAGGAATAATAGAAAATTAGGTTTAACTGTGACCCTAATGCTGTTAGACACTCTGGGAGAGTTGCTGAGGAAATCCATTTAGATGCTTATAGATTCCACAGTACATTACCCTGCACGCATATGGGTAGCACATTCCTTTCTACTCTTGCAAGGGCAGCTGGTCTTGCACAAAATGGGACACAGAGCAGAAAACTGGGTGCACAGAGGGAGCTTATTTGGGAAAAKGTGAATTTGACATCCCAGTCTTACTTATCACACAAACATTCACAGTAATCACTAAAGTATCTAAAAATAGGAATTTGCAGCCCTAACTATAGCCTTGTAAAACAACAAGAAACTCAAATCATCTCCTCTATTAAAATGACTTACACTTTACAGAGCACATAATTTGGCTTACCGCATTTCATCTGCTTTAATCAGTTTGGTGGAATATTTCAAAGTGCAGAAGAACTCAGCAGTGGAGTTTTATCACTTTAATTGTAATTCATCTCAGGTTTTACCACCTCAAATCCTTTCAGCCTGATTTTGATTCATCTTGAGATTCTAGCAGGAATCAGAGAATGTGGAAAAAAGAAAAGAGATGCAATATCCACAAGATGTCAATATTCATGTCAGCAAACAATCCCAAAGGTCATGCTAGTAAATGGTGTGACCTTATATCACCTAAGTGTACATAAAAAGAAAAATAAGAGCATTCATAATGAGGATAGTGTGTTTATAATATTATCAGCCGTTCTCTGGGATGTCATTTTTTGTTCTATATCACTGYAACTTTAAGAACCACTTATCTGTAAATGCTGCTGCTAGAATGTCTAAATTCTACTATATCAAAAATTAATTTGCAGAATGTGCAAGGGTTGAAAGAATATTTTTGATATTGGCCACTGATAGCATCTGATATGAGAACTTGAAAATTAGGCCTTCCTCTTTTGCGACAGCTTTACAAAGCATTTGTATGTCTAAAAATGAAGAGAAGCATCTAGGGTAGATTTATAGAAGCACCTAAGCATTGGTTGT